TATTAGTTGATTACCTGGCTATAATAGGGTAGCCTTCTTAGGGAACATAGAGTTTCTTTTGAAAGGCCTGTTTTTTGAAATGGAAATATGTTGTTCTCCAAGTGTAGTGGTTAGCTGAAATACTGTAATTTTTAATAAGCTCTGAAACTTCTTTTTGAAATACCTAACACAGTATCATGTGTAACTGTACGTAGGACATACACAGGCTGATTTTTGGCCTCTGGCCTTTGTTGATTATTTATTTGAAGATACTTTGTATTTAAGATTCCAAGGAAAATTGGAATTATTTTATTTGGAATTTGGAATTATAATTACAACTACTTTGTAAAAAAACATGCCGTGGGAATTTAAACATAAAATATGTTTTATCATTTAAGAAAATTAATAGTTTATATGAATTGTTTAATATGTATGTAAAAATTCTGTTATGGTTGGGTATTTCATGCGTAGATGTCAGTGTTGCCATTTCACTGTGGCATCAGAAAGATTTTTTTAATGCTGGAAATAGTGATCTAGATGACAAAACAATGTCCTAAAACATAAGTGAGGACCCAAGTTGAAAACGTGCTGATATTTGGGCAAATACAGGAACAGAAGTCTGAGAGGCAGTCGATTAATTACTGATTATAAATATGTTAGTAAAATCTGAGCAGGGAAAACAGGTATAGTGAATCCTGATTTTAAGAAAGTCCATATTCATATCTGTTACAAGTTCTGTTCAGACTTCAGACCAAAGGACTAACTGAAAGTGTGTGTAGTGCACACAATCAGATGTTAACAGTCTGACAGACTTAGTTAAGTTATGACAGTAAATACAACTCATCTGTGGCTTTGGGCACATGAATGGCTCAATCTGTGGCAATTCAAAATAGTGTGAATTAAAAAGCTGGAAAATGTAACACAGATAAGAAAATCAAATTAGCCTCAAATTCAACAATATAAAAATGTACACCTGCATAAATTTGGGCTCAATTTGCTAGACCTTCCTTGTGTTTGCTTCTTTCTGTCTCCCATTTTCAAATGCACAGCTTGTTTATCTAACACAGCTGCCTCCATGCAATTTGCTTGAGGCTTATGCCTCAGGCGTCATCTCTCTCTGCTTGTGAATCCATCACACAGACATATTGATGCCCTAGTTGATGGTAACAGTTGATTTTTCACCTGTAATGCATTTGTCTGCAAGAATCTCTTCAGGGAAAACTGGAACTAGAACCTAGAACTTGTTTTAAGTAAGGACAAAAAGAATTAGTATTAAATGATATGCTATAAACATTTAAACTTGTAATTCAAGTGGATACTGTGCAAATAGATACATAGATTCCATGCTAAAATATATTTTGACATAATGGCAAAAGCTAAAAGGAGAACAGGTCGCAGAAGCTGTATCTAGCAGCCAGTTTTCAATAAGATTATAAATTAAGAGCTTCACAAGGCTATTTCTGACAGTAGGGTTTCCCTCTTAAGAAAGCAGGACAGAAGACATGGGACATCTGAGAGCCTGCTTTTGTTAGAGGTAGATGTTAGAGATTAGAAAAATAGAACCAGAATAAATCATTAAGTGCAGTCAGAAGATACTTGGGGAGATGTGACAAAATGCAAAACTGGTGAGGCAAGTAACTAAGTTAGAACTGCATTTGAAATCTAATGTGCAGTGAGACTCTGAAGTGTTGGAACCATAAGTATTGAACTTACTGAACCTTTTCTTACTTTGAAGGTTTTATTTTTCTGTCTAGAGGTTGCAGGCCTCAGTTTTATTGTATTGTGACTGTACTCCGTTTTGCATGTAGGACAGTTATGGAACAATGCCTACAAATTAAGAAGACAAAAAAAAAAAAGAAAAAAGAGAAAAGAAAAGAAATAGAAGTGTAGACGCTTGGTCAGGGGGTCACAAACCACGTCCACAAAACCACTGGCAAATTCCCCATGGATTTCAACAAAGACAGGACTTCACCCTCAATTTGGATGAAGTGATGTACTGCACTGCTGTTATTTATCTCGCAAGGGAAAACGTGGCTTACATGAGAATGTGATATAAGTATATTCTTTGTCTTATAACTCAGCAAGAAAGGGATTTGCTAATTGGATCATATGCACAAGGGGTAAGCTGGAGTCTACGTCAGCCATTGCATTCCTGTTGATCGGGATCAGCAGTAGAAGGTGATACATTGCTGTAAATTGTTCTCATCTGCGGCTGAGTCCTTCTAATTCATTTTTGTGTGACTTTGGAGACAGCTGCTTTTGAAAGCTGGTGTCACTGGCTGTTTAATCTGTAAACTCCCTGGAATCTTTTTTCTTTGTTTTTAAGAGAAGTTGGTCATTTTGGTGAGGGATTCTCAGTTGTTTTTGTGGTATGCTAGCACAGTACGTGAGCTGAGGCTCCTAAGGTTAGGCTTGTGGTCACAGGTCAGTGACTCCACCCAGGAGCTACCAGACATAACTGAGAGGTCGTAGTCCCTCCACCAGACTGTGTGGACAGCTGGGCTGCCAGGGCAAGAGAGGGGGCTTGCATCTGTAGCAGCCTCCCCAGAACATACTGATAATTCAGTCCAATGTAGCAATTGGGTCTTGTTGACAAGAATTCTGGTGAGAAAAGTTTATCACAAGAATTTAAGTATGAAGTATTTATCACAACAGAAAAGTTTATCATAAGACTTGCCTAAATTTCTGACAGTTTTCCCCACAAATGCTTCAAACTGTCATGGCTTTCTCGCTTATAACAGAGCCTGTTCTATTGCAACATTGAGATTTCTCGAGTTGAACTCTGTAGAACTTGCAGTGAGTGAGGATACGTGCCTTTAAGTTATGGAGTATCTTGGGTTATTTGTATGGGAAATTTATTTTAGGTAACTCTTAGAGATTTTCTGAATTTATATTAGTTAACATTTTCATTTTGTTCTAAAGCAGGTGGAATTTTAAAACTGGCTGGCAGGCCTTTAAAATAGACAGCACAAAATTCCCTAAATGACTGCTAAGATAGATCTCAAAGAAAATGGACTTGTTGACACATACTTAATATGTGACTGTTTGCTGTAATATAAAATATTTGCGTTCTTGAGGAAAGACCTCTGTAATTAGAGTGAGTTCATCACTTATGAACCATTGGTCATGTAAGCATGCCAGCAGATGCTCAGTAAACTTTTAGGCCACATTATTCTCTAGAAATTGTCTTGTATATATTTTGCCAGACCTCACTTTCATTTCAAGTATACATAATAAGGGAGATCTATCTAACTTTTAAGTTTCATCCAGTGAATAAAAATTAATGTAGCATGCCAGTTACTTGGGGATATTGTGTATTGTCATTCCTTTGAATCCGTGCTGCTTTATGAGTTTGAAGCTACTTTGGCAGCTGACACTTATTCCCATTTCTAAAATTGTAATAGTAACTTCTCAGCTTATGTAACTAGGGACATGAATGAGAAAGTGGTAAATATCACCCCAGTTTGCAAGATCTTGGGATTCCATGACTCTTCTGTCCCCACTCCTGCACCAATGAACCCCCAAACATACAGTTACATTTAGGGGGTGACCTTTTCTTTTAGGGGGTAGTTTGTTGGCCACTTCTCATTAGTGTATGTTTTTACTGTTATTGTTCATTGTTAGGCTTGTGATTTTAGAGAGGGAAATACTCTGCTAGCTGCTCAATGGTCCTATGAATACAAGATTGGTCTCCATTCACACTTATATTTTCTAGTGTTTTCTTCTAGCTTAGTTTTAGATGTCCTAAAGAACAATACTCTCCCTTGGGGGAATTGGCAAAGTCTAGTAGATCACACTGCCAGGAAGTTTCTCTTGCTATTAATTTTAAATTTCCTCCTTCTCGATTTCATTCCATTACCCCAAGTTTATACTTCCTGTACTTTCCAAATAATTCCTTCCTCTTCTGTGTGTTTATATTCTGCACATACTTGGCGGTAATTGTCTCAGCCCAGCTATTATTTCATTAAGATAGTCATGCTTACCTCCTTTAACCTTTCATTGTATCAGGTTGAATCAGGTCCTTTATTAGTCCATTTCTTTACTCTGAGTTATCTCATATTTGACAAGATCCTTTTGATAATAAGATTCCCAGTATTTTTCTATTTGTTTGGCTTTATTTTAAAATACCTAAGATTCACAGAACACATAATCAGTTTAAGGCGAAAGTTATCAGCCACTGTTGAAAAATCTATTTAGTACTGGCTTATTTTTACTGCATGTTGTTTATCAGTGGAGTATTTACAGTCATGCAAAATGTTTAAAGTATGTTTAGGCATTGGATAAACATTTACCAGTGAACATTGCCAAATTCAGACGTACATACATGCAGAAAGTAGCATATTACATTGATGACTTGTACCTAAGGTCATATGGAGACTGCCTCTTGTATCTATGAAAGTCTCTTTGTTTATTATGCCCTTGAGTTGCAAAGTTGACATTATTCAACACTTCTGTGTTTTTGGGAGGTGGCTTTTGACTAGATGTTACGACGTCTGCATTATAGTGCATGGTATCCTAACCCTCTCCCCAACTCCCAGACGTGAATTATTAGTTAGCTTTCCAGTATGTGTAATCTCTGTGGACAACTGTGGTCAAGTCTTGGTTATGCTCCAAGCCAGAGTGGTATGGCCTGTGAAAACAGAGGTTTTGCATCATTCATTTGCTCTTAATACTTTGTACATTAGTGCCTATGCCTGGTCAGTTTAATCCTGCTATTGTGGGATTTACTGTGGTTCACAGCCACTGTGTGAAGGGCAAATGTATTTTGAAACAACCTGATGCATGCTGCATCCAGGAAGAAAGCAAGCTTACCAAAAAGTACTGCTACTTAAGTACTTCTCTGAGGAGTGATCTGCCTACTGAAAACACCACATAGAAATTCATAGCTTTATTAAAACAGCACATTCCAGCATGCAGCTGCTGTGGTGATGTGCATTCTGGAAAACCCTAAGATAGGCGGGTAGGTTCCTTAAACACAATGTGTATGTTTCACAAGGCATTCTTTTGGTTTTGTTTTGTAGCCTAACAGCAGTGGTCAAGTAGTAGGGAAAGTGCCTGGCCATTTTACTCCAGTTTTGGCACCCTCTCCCCATCACAGTGCGGTGCGACCTGTGACCCTGACCATGACAGATACTAAACCCATCACTACATCCACTGAAGGTGAGGCATCTTCACCTACAGCAACCAGTAAGTATTTCTTTAGGAAACAAAAAATGTCCATCAAAGATTCTATATGATTTCAAATTGAGGCCAGAAAAAGGTGCCTTTTCCTACTATTTGACCAAGTGGATGCTCATCATTTTACAGTGAGAGCAAACATGATCTATCTGCAAAGCTTTTCCTCCCCAAATTTCAACCAGTGCATCATGTTACCTGAACTAAAGTTTGTAACATGACAACCAAAATGAAAGGGAAAAGCCTGCATATTTGACCACTATTCAAGAAAAAGAGAATATATTTTTTCATCTAAGGTGGACATTGTAAAGACATTGAGAAGCACACCCAGACATGGAGGTTTTACAATGACCCGCAGACGGAATTCCAAACAGAAATTGGATAATTTGCTCCTCAATGAACTTTCCTACAGAAATCAAGCCTTGTTAGAACGCATACTGAATCCGAGCTATGACAATTGCATGTTGATATAGGTTGTGTCGTTTTTAGCAAATACAACTGATGTGACAAAAGAAAATTTTAATTCTTTGTCATTGCTGCAATGGATAGTAGATCCACTGCTCCTTTTTTAAAACATAAAACCCAAACCCTAGCTTTAATGCTTTAAGTTCCTTATTACTATATAGGACCATATTATTTATCCTATTATCTTCAATGGAGTTGTGGTTTTGGAAGTAAGAGCAAAGTTGCTACTATGTGTAGGTTAATTTCGTCTCTTCCAAATACTCGTCTTATGCTCAGTGATGCAGAATGTTGCTTTTTAACTGCTTTCTGCATTTCTGTTGTCTTTGAACTTTTATTTGGACTTGAGATGGCCAGTGTTACCAATATTTATCGGAGTACTGAAGATTTTTAGGAGACATGTCCAGACACGTATTTTGGAAGAAAACTTAACAGCTTTTAAAAATATTGATCTCTTTAGAGTCCATTACATTAAAATGACTTGCTTTAGGCCCGTTTAGTATTTGAAATGTGAATCCAATCCCTGACTTTTGATCTGTCATTAACAGAGACCATAAACCATAGGTTTCCTAGGTGTTACACTACTTCAAATCTTTTTATTAGGATGTGTAGCAAAGATGAGACTCGAATGCATAGGAGTGGCCAAGATGTAACGGAGGAAAAATGTTTATGCCTTTATTATAAAGGGATAGTAGGAAATTTTGGACAAACTCTTGTTTAAGTAAAAACAAATAATTATGTGGATAGATTTATGGAAGGATTTTAGCTGTTCTTTTAATACAGCAGAAGTTTTGTTAAAAGGTGGTAGAATATATCCATATCTTCCCTGGTGGTTTGTGGTACCAGGTTCTTGCATGTTTTAGAAAGAGTTAGTTTTACCAGCAAACAAGAAACTGTTGCACTAGACTTTTCATCCATAATAGAAAATTGAGAAAAACTGAGTTCATGTATAGTTTCAAGTATTCATGGTTTCATTCTTCTTCCTGCTTGACACGATCATGCCTGGCGAAAATAGCTGTCTCAGATGAGGTGAGGGTTTGTGATACAAATGACAAAAAGAACAAATACAATGTCAGAAATACGCTGGGATGTTTTCTGGTAATCTGACCATATTATTCAGCATTACAGGAAAGCAAACCTAATCTGTTCATTGTCCTACTACAAAGACAAAAATTTGGGCTATATTAATTCAATTCATTGGAACTTGGGTATCTGATTCCCCATGAAGCTTAGAACATCTCGGCTTAGATATTTGAAATAAGGCCTCCTCATACTTCCACAGAAGTGCGCAAGTAACTTATCTGAAGATCCAATACCTGTCAGTGCAGCATGTAAATAATAATAAAACCCCCCTATGTACAAATTTCATTTGAATGTGCTAGTTCTGCATATGAGATAGCATATAAAAGCTACGTGTTCAGAGTGTTATAGTTTTCAGAGCAGTGCAGTAGTTTTTCTGCTTGGTAAAGCCTATTAAAACTGGATTGGTAAGTGTAGGAGCCAAAAAGTAAAGGAACATAGCTTGTTGATGAAGAAAATAGCAAAAAATGAGGGTTCATGTCCTGCTGATGTATAAATTATATATGAATACATAGAAACTGTATCATCAGTCATAAAAGACCTGCCACACAGAGTGCTAATGTTAACTTTACGGGAAAATCAAGACTAAATATATTTTAAGGCATAGTTTTACTTCTATTTGCAATAACTGATTGATTGGTTCAAAATATATATAGATATATAAAACATATGCTTGGCCAACAAGTTATCATTATTATTCAGTCTGATGAAAATGAAGTGGCAAATGATTAGCACTGCTTTTACTTCTGAAGTGCAATAGCAGAATTGTTTTGAATGAGAAAAAACAGCAGGGTTTGATAGTATTTGGGGAACCCTGTGGCCTCTCCCATAATTTCCTTCTAATAACTGATTAATTTTTATGACAGTTCTTCAGTAAAGCCTGTTTACTGTAGAAAGTCTCTGTTATTTTTCTTTTTTTTTTTTTTTAATTTAATGGATTTAATTTGCTTGTGTTTGCTGTGTGATTTTAATACTAACAGGCCAATTGAGTAAGTACTCCTATCTAGCTTCTCATTGGCATCTTTTTATATATCTTAAATTTTAGTAGTTTTGCTTTTTCTGACAGCAAGTTTCCAGGCTGTGATGTTTCAAGTTGCAGTGCAGAGATCTCCACACTGGGAAGTGGAGTAAGACCACCTACCTGATTTCATAAGTGCCACCAAAAGCCATGAGAGGGTGATGGGTTTTAGGGATACTGACAGAGACCAGACAGGAATGTGACCTACAGGTGAAGGAAAGATCCATATCCTGCAACTAATCCCAGTGCAACCTAACATTCCCTTTCTCCTCAGAAATGGATTTCTGTAATTTTCAGTAGCAGAGAGCAAGACACTTCCTTAAATTGCCACCTTGGGAAAATGCTGTTTCCTGATGCATAGGGGAGTTGAATATTTAATATTATATTGCACAGTAAAAATTAGCTCCCTTCTTATGAAAATACTAATCAGATTACATCCAGTTTCCAAAGGCCTATAGAGATTCATTTCATGCCACATAAGTAAACTGAACTCTTGATTCCAATTTTTGTTGTTCTTTTACAGCTCTGCCACGTGCCTTCATAGTCATCAGAAAAATAATTGTGCACCAATATTTTCTCTCAATGTTGTAATCTCAGAGATTTCACTGGTGCCTTAGATTGGTGCAGTGGAGATGAGAATCAAGGTTATGATTCCTTCAAATACATACCTTATTTAATCACTTAAAAAAAAGATATATTAATCAAAGGAACTTTATTTAACAAGAACCATCATCATGATTTACACATGCAGCTTCCATTGAAGTTTATAGGAATTTACACATTCTTTCCAAATCTGGTCCAATTTTTCTTTTCTTTTGCATTAGATTAAAGTTTAAAAAAAGGAAAACCACAGACACATCCTATATATTGCAAATTCATAACTCTGGATCTGTCATATTTGTACTGTACCTGCACAGGGTAATAGCTATGCTAGGTTGGTATTTATATCAATCTGTTTTGTTCTTCCTTAATCAGCCTACACAGCCTCAGGCACATCCCAAGCCAATCGATATGTGGGACTAAGCCCAAGAGACCCATCCTTCCTACACCAGCAACAGGTGGGCAAGTTTCACATAGGTGTAATGGTATAGAGAAGCTTTTGTGATATTACCTTCCTACGTGCTGCCACTGTTATCTTGGATTAGACTAGGATCCTAAGGGTTTCATTATTTGTTTATTCAAAACAAAAATGAACCCTTTAAGAAACATCAATTTAGCATATGCTTTATTTCTTAGATTTGTGACAACTTAAGGAACAACTAATCATATTTCTTGCATTTATGTTATTTTTCAAGAAAACATATTTGTAATCTGTAATAGGATTTCATAAAAGAGAATGAGGTATATAAGGAACAAATACTTATTTCAAAATCAGTTTAAAAATAAGCAAAATTTCCAAAGCAAAAAGTCTAACTTATTATTTTCAAGCTATGTTGGTTTTTTTCCCCACATGTATAAGCTTATGTTTCTTCATTTTAGTTCTAGAAGATGAGTTACAAAAGCAAATTCTCAGTGCAACACATCATCATTTCTAGTTTAATAGGTTTAAATTGGTCTGCTGATTTTAGACGTGATAAAACCACATTTTTGTTCTAGTTTCTTACATCATTTATGTTTCAAGTAGCATTTTAAATTTCACATCTCATTAATGCTGTAAATTTAATGCAAATGAAGTGTTTACCCAAACTGTGAAAATATACAGCCGAGATTAATGATGGCTTACAAACAAATTAGCTGCCGTCAGTAGCAAGGCCATGTGTATACAGAAATGCTACATTGCTAGTAACAGGAATAAATTCAGACCCTTTAGAACTTTAACATATTTTATGATGTATACTTGTGTTGCTTCTAGATCTTAACAGTAGAGGACTTTGAAATTAACAGCATGTAAAATGTTATAAGGAAAAAAGCTGAATGTGGCAGTAAGGAAAGGGCTGTTAAGTAGTCATTGGTATTTATCGTAGTGTGTTTTTTGCTGAGGCTTGGGTTCCTGTCAACAGTTGGTACACATGCCTGTTTCATTTTTCAGTAAAACCTACCTGTTCGGTGTTTGCTGAGATATAGCTGAGTGTGCTTCATCTGGAACTCTCTATCCCTACCCACTCCCAGGGCAAGGTGGCAGTGTGTCCGTTTTAAAGGTCACCACACGCAGAGTTCAGAGAAAATCATAAAGATGATCATTTATTCAAGATAGTTGATGCTTTGCCAACTTTTTTTTTTTTTTTGTAACCAGTGAGGCCTAACTGGAAACATCTGTACACTTTTATGAAAATAGCAAATGACAATTAGTGGTTTTGCCAACCATTCATCTTTCAGGAAATTTTCTGGTGTATTGCTTTTTTTTAACCTCTCAAAGGTTGTAGTGTCATAAAATGTGTTATAATTACTATAAGATGTTTCTTTTTAAAAGATATACAGTATATGTTTATTGTATTTTAAAACATATGCAACTTCTCTCTTCTTTTCATGTGAAGTTTTATATAGTGTACTTCAAAAAGTCTCTGGCATCCAGTTAATTTGTGGATGTGCAATAATAATTTTTTTTTCTCCACATGTTTTTAGACACAATTTTTTCTGCAAATTTGCTACTGCTTAAGCCCACTCCACCTTCTTCCAAGTTCATTGAAAGAATTACAAACTTCTTGTCACATGCTAGAAGGTAGTGGCAGCACGCTTAATTTTCTCTTGGCTGAGTTTATGACATGTAAATCATATGTTGCTTATTTTATGCATCTTCTGTATATTTTTGGCTTTGTGTAGATGGCAATAAATTCGGAGATTTCAGCAGTGTCACAGGAACATAAAAGTGAGAGGGATCTCAAGGGTCATCACAGTCTTTGGTGTTTATATGCACTGTGTCTTATGCTCCCTTTCATGGTAAAACATGTGGCCAGATGGCTTAGAGGGAAGGGGAAAATAAATTAGTTCTCACATACACTTTATAAACAGAAAAATTCTTCAATGCCACTGTGTGAAACCGATGTTCTCCCTTCTAAAGTATGTTGCTTCATAGGCTCGTTAAATTAATTCAAGAGCATCAATTGATGGCCAGTAAGCCATATAGTGAGTTTAAAAATTTTGTCATGGTTTCATCTTTGCTGTGAGTTCTCTATTTTCTAATTTATGCAATGGATATATGTGTGTGCTAGCCCGAGCCTGTTTGCTGAGGGTGCATGTATGGATGCTCACATATAAAAATATGTACAAAATTAGGGAATAGTATGTACTGCAGAAACCATTTTAAAGAACAGAATGCTTTAACAACAAAGCTTTTTCAGATGAGTAAATACAAATATGTGTGTATATATGTTTCTAGTGAATTAGATACCTTCACTCATTTATGTCCTAAAGGCAACTCTAAGGTGACAGTGCCATATTATGTTTATTACCCATAAAGTGGAGTAGAGCACTGAGATTGTCTAAACAACTTTAATAGAGCAAAGGTTATCATTTGGTAAGGCAGAAATGAGATTGATTTACTATGTCCTTTCATTACTTTACAACAATTTAAAAGAGACCACTCTTCTTGTGGCAGATTTTAGATGCATTTGGTTTAAAGCAACCCATGATAAATGAAAAGAAAAATCAAGGGGTACATGAAATAAAGGCAATCAATCATTTTGTATTAGTGGAGAGAAATTCTAAATTAGAAAGCCAATGGTTTTAGTTCCAGAGAGGTCTTTTAAACATTCACCATACCCCATAATGCACATTGACCCCTCAAGAATAAATATTGTCACCGGTACATTTTTTACTTCATTGGAGGAGTCTTTATGAAGATTTATTCTCTCCGGTTATGAGAAATATCGGCATGTACTGTTGAGTACTTTTTGTTGTGCGTAAAAAGAACCGTTATGTAGCTTGTTTAAATTACAGTAACCACAATACATTTAAAAGTTATACATGTATTTTGCAACACACACTTAGATGGACTCTTTTGACAAAGCGATAGTTTGCTAGAACTTCCAGTAAACAATTTATAGCACAACCTACCTGGAACACTCACATTTAGATGGGAAGTAGTGAATATAGCTTTGAAAGACAGTGCATAATAGCACAAATGGGAGCACTTTATTTTCTTTTACTGATCTAGATACTGTGAAAAATATGCTGCTACATGCATTACTTAGTGTGCTATGTTGATAGGAAGACATGGTTCTAATGAGGAATTATAACTATCCAGTCCACTTCCCTGCTGCAATTGCTGGTGGGCCTTCCAGTTACCTGACTTGAAACACTATTTCTATACTGGTGATATAAATAGTTACAAAACATATCTCTTACTTCAGTGACATCTAGACAGTCATATGTATCTTATAATTTTGTTGTAAAAAAGTCTTGTTAGTCCCCAAAACTGTCTATTACAAATTGTTAATGACCACTTGATTTGCTTTTCTTGATTCAGCATCACCTTCTGAGAGTTGTTAAGTACTGATAATGTAACTGCAGGGAGAGCATCATAGGAAGGGGCAAGGGAAGTGATAAGAGCTAGTACCTGAGGGAGTTTTTCTTAATTTTACTATTGGTGGCTGGTGGAATTATTTTATGACGCCAAATATAGTACTTGGTGCTCATCATCTGTACTGAGAAACGTCTTAAATGAGTTGCGCATAGAAGAAAGGTTAGATAATCTTCACAGTTATATGGGAGCACCTTTCCCCCGCCTTCTTTCTCCAGTTTGCATCTAGTGAAGATTTGTGGTTTTTAAGCCTAGAGTAGAAGAAAAAGCAACAAATTGAGGAAACTCAGTCAAATACAATCTTCTACAAGTGGACAGAGTCCCTTGCCAGATTCTAGTTGTGAAGTGATTTTAATGGAGACATCATTAGTTCAGTAACAAAGTCTTAATGATTGGAATTCTCATGGTTATGGGATGGCATTTCTGTAGCCTCCTTGTGTTACTGTTCTCAACGTTATGGATTTATTGCATCTTTATTATATCTTGTCTATCTTGAAATGATAGACACTTAGAGACAGGTTGATGCTGTTTCTGGCTAGAAAGCTAGAATGTTGCCAGAAATACTAGTCATGCACTTTAATTGTGTAAACAACATAAAAAGATAGATGGATGGATGGATGGGTGGATAGACATTTGTAGTTATTGCAAATACAGATTAATAGCTTCACAATTAATAAGATTTCTGCTGGAGTGAGTGAAATAACTATCAGATTTTCTTTTTTGGCCATTTATTTAATTGTAATGCAGCTTGGAGCCTTGTATGTGTGATTCTGGTTTTAATTAGAAAATGTAAGTAAATAGGGTAGCTATTAAGGTCTGTGAAGACAATGATGTCTAGAACTTTCCTGTCTGTTACAGTAAACTGTGCTAACTAATGCTGGCTGAGTTACTGAGGAGCTAGTGAACTCTTCCAGTCTTTGCACTGATTAATACAATGGCACGGTTTTACTGGAGCTTGGACTTTCCGCGTTTGGTGTGTGATGTGCATGTTTTTCACACAGCTTTGACATTTATGAGAGGCATTTGCCATGTACGTAGTAATAAGAAACGCTTCAGATCTCTAAAATGCAAAATCAGAAAATTGTAGCTAGCTTTTTATTTCCTTCACACGAGACGGCCTTGCCTCTTCAGTAGGAAGTTGTTCTTACCAGATGCATCCTTTAGTTACTGAATCACACAGTTCAAAATGGAGTTCTCTTCATTCTGTTCATCATGAAAGTGGTAAACTTCGATGTCCACTGAACATGGAGTATCTGTTTGCAAAATGTTTTGGGTGGATGTTGCTTTTGCTTTCATCAGAAGGCTAAAAGAAGAACATAAGTAGACTCCTAAACAGAACTTCGCAGTAAAGCCAGGAAACAGGTTATCAACACTTAGGCTGTTCTTATTGTGTCCCTTATCATAATTGACAGTTTGACGTAAAACTGGGTCACATGACCACCAGGGAGGTATGTAAATGGATAAGAGGTCACCTTTCACATATGCTTGCTCGAAAGGAAACACATTTAAAGGAAGTTTGAGTCAAAACAATGTCAATATGCAAATGTTAAATTTTATGGGTTTTTCTCAACTAATAGAAGCTATAGCACAGTCTCCTATTACAGTTTCGAAAATACTTATCTACTTTCACTAGTCATCACAGAAGCCTGAAATGAATCTTAGTCTTAGACAGCCACTCTTTAAATAGGAGAATAAAAAAAAAACTGCTTAGATATTAATCCATAAAAATTATTCAGGCTATGATTAAAGACTGAGCTGTTGACTGTGGGTTTTTAATCTACGTAGGATTTGCATACTTAAAACTCTGTAGGATGGTTGTGCTTGGAAGGTGCCCAGTTTAAACTGAAAAGGCCACTACAGTGAAATCTAGCTCTTGGGTAGAACTTCATATCAGTATGTCTCACAGCACTGTGAAGTGCAAACCAAAATCACTTCCCCTGGCATTTTACAGAGGGCAGAACAGGAGCAAGGAGGTGGCTGACTTGCAGGCAAGTGGAGGAGCTTGGAGAAGCACTCAGCCTTCTGCTCTGCTTCTCCCTTGGCCTGTGGCCCCTTCCCATGATGTAGCTGATGCGGATGAGGGAGTTGCGCTGCCTCCCTAGAGAAACGCTTGCGCTGGGCTTTGCACTTCATGAGTGTAGCAGTGAGGATGTACTGCAGGGATGAGAGACGTCGGGAGATGGCTGGGCTGCCTGTGAGGTGTCCCCATCTACTGCAACGCTGGGCATCCTTTTCCACTTCAGAATACAGACCCATGTTCTTTTTCTGGGCAGTTAGGTGAGAGACCAGTAAAAAAACCAAACATTGATAATGTTTTGTGGGTGGAAGGTGTTATTGAAATGGGGTTCATGTGGCTTACCTTGCTGAAACGTGTCAAAGCTGTGGGACTGAAGAGCAGGCCTGTCCAACAGGCTTCTAGGAAAGACTTTTCACCATGTCACATAACAAATCAGGCCGTTTATTTTGCATTCATAGCATATTTTTGATGTTAGTGATGTTAGTGATGTTTTTCAGCATTTATTAAACATCTCATGCAGACTATTTCTTTAGTCCCTGTACTGAGGAATTTAAGTTTTCTCAAGTAGCCTTCAAGAAGTTTCCTGCCTCTCCCTTTCACACATCCTGCAGAGAAACTCTTTTAGGTAGCTTACTGTGGGTGAGAGTGAATATGCCTTCTCGTCTCCAGCTAACACCGTGGCATGGTTTTAGAGGTCACCTAAGTTTCTCTGAGGACTATAACTAGGCAGAAGGCTTTCAGCATAACACCAGACTACATACAGGACTCAAAATACTGTATTAAAGTGCCCTACATCCTTCCAAAGCTTGGTATTCATGTCAGGTCTGTGCCCCCAGGCTTTCCCTGCTGGGCTGTCTGGACATCCTCCAAGGGCAGTGTTCCCACTGCTGCTGTGAACAGACATCTTCCATCAAATGGCGCCGGGGCTTGAGGAGGGCTTTTAAGCTTCTCCAGTCTCTTTACCCAGAAAAGACTCAACGCACATGAGGGATTCAGACTGAGACTTTGAATGTGATACTTCGACATACTTTCAAAAGTGTATTTCTAATTCTTAGACAACCTGATCTCTAAGCAGGAGTGATTTGGGAGAGGAAATTTTATGAGGGAAAAAGAAAACACATTTTCCTGGGAGGTTAGTTTTTAAAGACAACATGGCCGTTCTGTGAGCCTGCTGAGTGTGGAGCAATAGTTTTTAACACTGGGAAGGTGGTTTTCAGCACAGCTGAGGCAATCCTGGGCTTATCACAGAACCCATTGTCATACGGACCTGCAGTTCTTCAAAGTATTGTCAGCACCGGAGGTACGGCACTGTTGGTGCAGTGAACAGCACTGCAGTTTACACTAACTATAAATCTAGTGTGGCATGAATCTTCACATACATGTGTGTGAATGTGTCTGCAGCATATTTATAAAATCCACATGTTTTATTACCATTACAGTAATTAGATGTATATGTATTAAGGAATGTATGACCGTGTATAGTATGAAGTATATGGTATGTCATTACCAACATTCATGAAATAGGTTTGAAAAGCTCTTTTTGGAGCTTTCTTAATGATAAATTTAACACATTAACTGTATATGTGGAAAGTTTCCATACAGACTGTGGGAATAATATAATGATTTAGTGCAGAAGTTAATTTACTAAAACATAATGTATGAATCCTTTAGTCCTTTCTGTAGTGCCAAATGCAATCAGGTTCTATAGCAGGCTGTGCTTGCCAGATTTTTGACCTAAACGTAAGTGCATAAAGTCATTTGATAACACTAAGTTTTTGATTTTAGTATTCTTTATGGTTCTAATCAGCCAAAGGGCTTTTATTCGTAGATTTTATATTTTGTGAAAGAAGAAAAGGCGGGGGGGATAACCATTCAGTCTTGTATTTCAGCTGAAAGTGAGTTTTTATGGCTGTTATAAAGCTTTAAAATATGCATCTGTAATTAAGATGATGACATTCTTAAGGATTACAGCAGAAATACATCTACTGTACATTGAGTAACTGAGCTGACTTATTTTACTGTCTTCAATATTAAAATCAGGTTTACAATACTGTTTTGTATAGTGACTAAACCAAATATTTACTTACCCCTTTCTTTAAACATATTTAATGTATTATTCACAGTTACCTCTAGCAAACTTTTTGACTGCATGTTTCCTTTTCTGGTTAATTTCATGTGGTTTAGTCATGCTTTTAATGGCCTTTAGAAGGTCCCTTGGAGTTCTTTAGATAACAAAAAAGAAACAATCCCTATGAAAACATCGGAGACTAACATTTCCATTTCTCAGACCTTAACAGCAGGAAGCTTATGAGTCTAACAGCCAGACAGGGTCAGGTTTGCAATATTGTCTTGTCCTCAGCATTTGTATTTTTCAGGAAAAGACTGCAATTAATTGTGCTCCTGTGAAAATAGTTTATTGTAGTTTGTTTGCTGTAGCCTGCACTATTTGTGAATACAGATAGAGAAAACTAAAATGCAATGAATGCAATTAAACTCAGCAGCAACATTATCTTCAATTTAGAGTGCTGTATCATATATGTACTGGAGTTTATATTCAGCATTACTATACAGAGGTTAAAATGTATGTTTTCTTCTCAAGCCGGATCGGTTCACTTTCTTAAACTTAAAAATAAGCAGTATATCTTTTCAATAAATCTGCTAACACTGTAGGGCAGCTGTTAAATAAACAGAGCTATAGAGGGTTGCTTGACCAACCCGTGAAGGCAGAACTGGTGATTTGAGGATCTGGGAAGAATTTGTTTCAGCTAACATTTAGTACATTCATCATTGTATTAAAATGCAATAAAGTATTTTAAATGCTATTATTCTCAGTCTAAAGCAAGATTAGATTATTTTATCACCTCTTGCTAAGTAATACCACTGTCAGTAACACTAGATTAATAAACTTCAACTACAAAATACCTTTACCCTTCTTAAATAGCGAGATAAGGACATACAGTTTGTTTAATTTGGGCAAATTTTCTATAAATTGCATGTCTTCTATGTTTCACGAAACGCATGCTACAAGATATTGATTATATTTGAACTTTACTTAATACACGTTATATAAAACATTGCTTAGAGAAAACAGCATTTTTTATTTCCTTTCTTAAAGTATCTCACTATTGAATATTAACATTTCCTTTTATTCCAGCTCAGTTTGTAATCTAATAATGGCTAATTGTTATGTGCTAAACACTAGTTACTCTTTTATGCTTTATTAATAGAGGAGTGTATTATCTTAAACAAATCTTACTAGGCATTTATTTCTCAGAATAAGTTATTTTTCTTTGTTTGTTTGTTTCCTTTTATTTTTTAAAGTTGCTTCTTGGGAAAGTAAGGCTTTTGCCATGTACAGTACTAGTTTGCATGTATTCATTTAAATACTAAAAACTGTAGTACTGCTCGATCCATATCTGACTGCTAGGTTTCAATTGACAGCTGAGAATTTGTGACTGGACCATGAATCAAAACGGCAGGCATTTATACCCCAGTGCCAGTGAGGATACATTGGGAATTACTTGGCAAAGGTAACATTTTAATTATTTCCACCCTACACCACCTCTAAAAAAGTTGCATTGAGCTGCAGTATCTGTTTTAGCAGGCTTCCAGAGGAATATGTGATAGCATGTGATCAAAACACGCGTGTAACGTTTCTCCCATACACATTCAGGTTATCTTTAGCATAAATTGAATTTAGAAACTACCTTAAGTAAGCACCTGGAATGACAGTTCTGTGCTGTCAAATGCAAAGGGTTTGTAAATGTAAGGCAATTAGGCTTTAAAAATGAAAATGTTGTTTGCAAAATTAGAGGTCATATTGGGGGGGGGTTTAGTGGTTAAGACAAAGAAAATGGTGCTGTTAGAGGTATAAATGAGTATAATAATAGATGTCTGAGGTGGTGGTGGTTTTGGACAATGAATAACCATACTATTCATAGAGACTGACTAATTGGCTGCTATAGATTTAGGTCACTAACATGTACATGAAGGTAAGATATAATCATTTTATTTCTCAACTAAACAACAGACTAATTAGGATTGATTTACAAAAAATAGGGTTTCCTTTTGTATGAAAAAAAGAAAACACAATAAAACCCATTAACCTTTGGTACATAAATAAATTGCTCATCATTATCTTTTACATCTCTTGCTATATAATGAATTATGGTAACAGTAGAGGTGTGTGCGTCTAAATAGGTGTGTAAACAAATCAGCATAATTATGATACGTCAATTTTTAACCTCTTTCATGTGCAGGATTATCTGGCACTCAATGCCTAAGGGGGGTTGTTCATGTAAAGCCTGTGGGTTGAGAGCCTGTCAGATGAAGTATTAGCTACTCACTCTCAAAGTGATTTTAAATACTTCATGGACATTTGTGTGCACATAAAAGTATGCACTTCTGAATAGTTTGTGTAAGTATGTGTGTGAATGTGATGCGTGTATGCATTATGTACAAAATGCCTTTTGATGTACTGTATTGTACTATGGGTTGCTAGAAGGTTTGTGATTTTTGAGTGTCAGCTTGGAAGCATAATTATGGAATTTGAAAATTGGTGCTGCTTACAAATCTGAAGTTTAAATGCCTTGAATATTTTTGCTTTACTTTTCCTTTTTGCATTTTTTCTGAAATAATATTTAAAAACTGGAAGAATTGTGGTGGAAAAGTGAGGTGGTGTCATTTCTTCCCTTATAGATGAAATGGCACAATGGAAAATTAGCTAATGGATTCACCTCATCTCCTCAAGGGCTGTGATTCACATTATAAATCCCCATCATGCAGTAATTGCAACAGTTTTCAATGTACTGCCAAGAGTGAAACCAAACTGAGCTAGTACAGCACAGAGCAGGTGATTTATGTTGCTTTTTCAGGGCACTGACAGGAGTTACGAAATTATATCACAACTGCCTGTCTAGGAATATCCTTGAATGATTTTAATCAGTCATCACTCGAGCCACCTTTAAAGAAATCCCCATTTATACTGGCTGAAGCACTGTTCCAGAGTTTGCTGAATTCTGTTTTTCAATACCCATGACACAAAACTCTTGGGCATAAATTATGAAAAGAAAGGAAAGGGGCGAGGAAGATTTCTAGGCAATGACAAGGAAACTTTGGTGATGAATACATGACCCACTCACCTGTACAGACAAAACTGCTTTGCAGGTTTCTCCTAGGGTGCTGCCTGCCACTTTGACCCTACCAAGGTACAAAAGTGCTGCAAGATGAGCTTGGGCACAAATTTTGCTACAGGCATCTCTTTACAGGCCTAAGCTATGCTTACTTGGCCTTGAATTAAGCACAGCGGCCTTTGAGGATGGAGCAAAAAAAACCTGATAGCTCTCCCTAAGTAGATGACTTGTAGGATTTGTGCTCTGGAATACAACATCCTGCAAATCCCATGTAGGCGAGGATCTAAGAGGAAGAATGGTACCTGCACAGGCTAAGGAGCAGTGAGCCCTTCTAATGCTAAAAAAAGAACCCCTTTGAAAAGGAATCATTGCTTGTTGGCAAAAAATCTATTCTAGTCCAGACAGTCAAAGTTTCTCCCACAAAATGGTTTAATAAATGTTTGATTGTGTGATTTCCTTAAATCTGCTGGGCTTATTTTGGTGGTACTCGATCTGACCTTTTACAGCAGGCATTTGTGGTTGGTTTAAGTACCCTGACCTCAAGAAGGTAAAAAGTTGGCAGTGCCTCAATGTTAGCTGTCCTGTCTCTACAGAAATCGGGTATCAGAGGTGGCCGAGCTGAAAGCTTTTGTCATGCACTATGGTTGGTGATCCACACCTTGGAAACTTGGGGAGAGTGAATGATGATAAAACCTCTCTTATTTCTGTGTTGTCTTATTAGTAGTTGCCTGTCATATCTGATAGTAGACACGATGCATAGATTTCAAAGCATGATACATAGATTTCAAAATAGATTTTCGGGGTTTTTCTTTCCTTATAAAATTATGTATCTGTTGGCGTTTAAAGTCCCAGGTATAAGAGACTAGAGGTCCAGGTATAAGAGACTAGAGATCCTTATGCAAAAGACTGAAAAAAAAAAAAAAAAAAAAGAATATGAATAATACAAGACAAAAAAGTCCACAACCGAACCCACAAAACTTCAAGTCATCGATGCACCATTTTCTTAAAAACCAGAAGACTTGCAAAGAATAGTGATATTAAAACCAAGATTAATGCTTTGCTAAGCTGAATTAAACATTCTAGTATCTTTAAAGGAAATACTTAAATAAAACATCCTATGAGCATTCTAAAAAAAAAAAGGAAAAAAACCCAGTTATTTGGTAAGGTGTTTGGAAGTAGTAATTATTTTGCTCTTAATACCCTAACCATCTACAATTATTTTTTGTTGCTGCTTATTTACAGCATTTATGATATAGATAGATATATTTTATGATGTCTGCTTGACTTTGAACAACATTTAAGCACATCAATGCAACTAAATTCTCAAGTAATTTTAAGATCTTTTAGGTAATTTTTTTCCTGTTCATATGATTAAGATACTCAGAATCCATTAAACCCCACCCCCCTCTTCCTTTTTCATAACCACAGTTCTGTGATAATAACTGTTTTCCTAGAGACAGAAGGTGAGGGGAAGCTGTGAAAATCTGTAAGGCTCAATTAGGAAAATGCAGTCTCAGTCGCTATGTGAGAGCAAAAGCATATGCAACAAGTAAACTTAAGCCATGAGTGAGAGTGAAAGGTGTGTGTGTGCCTAAGTCTGATAACATGAGCTTGAGCCTGAATCTCAGCCACTCATTACGTCATTGATATTAATTCCAGTGGGACCACTCATAAAGCTGGCACGATGGGTTGCTTTTAGAGCGTGTTGAGTATTTGCCAGTCTTGCAAGCAAATTTTCATTGCCAAAGTGTACATTTTAACTCAGCTATTGCCAAATATATTATTATTATTCCCAAATATTGTTATTTATATTCATTTTTTTAAACAATCTTTCTGTGTTAGTTTTATGGGTTAACTGTTACTTTAACATTACATTTACGCTACCCAGGCAAATGCACTAGGTTAGCATTTCCTGCTTTCAGTCTGTTATCTTGACACATAAGCATAGTACAACAGCTGGTTTGTTCCTGGAGATGCTGAGGGGAGCTCTGTTCTCAGAGTGCTGTATTTCCTTCTCAGATCTAGCTGTAGGGATGTTCAGCTTTCTAAGTATCATTTTTTCCCCCAAGTTCCCCTCCAGGTTTATGATAATAATGCTGATAAGGCAATCAAATGGGATAATCTCTGATTTGTGAAAGAAATGGGGGTTGGGGAAATGGAGAACAGGTGCAGATTGCTTTTGTGACGCAGTACCTTGTGTATGTTTGGTGTGGAGCAAACACATAGCTAAAGTAACACAGTCAGCAGTGTTGCTGTGGCAAGCACATTTTGGCAAACACAAACACCTGTCAGTGGTTTATACCCTTCCCCATCTCCCCCCCGTCCCGCTCCAATCCCTCATGGCAATGTTTTGGAAGTATCAATTCATTACAATGTAAGAACAAAAATGTTGAAGTATCCTTATTGTAAAAGTATTCAAAGAAAGAAAACCTAATGATTTCTGGTCTTTATCAATTTAAATTGCTACTTCTAATAGTTTTGCCCAACTCCGTAATGCAGAAAGATGTGCAGAACATTATGTTTCCTCTCCATCTAGGCAAACATCTTCAGAACACTTCCGAAGAAATTAATTGTATTCAAGCCAGACTTGCATGCTGCCATCCCACAGGAAATGGGTCAGCAATCCATTAAGATGCCATTAGATAATCTAATTTGGAACTTAATCTCTAAATTAACCATGCTCCATACTTGAAGCATACTTGAGAGAAAGAAAAAAAGTTTATGTTTGAATCGATAGGGGAGCCGAAGCGTGAAGAAGGCTGTTTGTTTTTTCTGTAGCTGTGGTCACGTCTCAAGCTGTCTGGTAACCAGGAGAAACCAGACATGATGTAATTCCAGATTGAACTTGAACTTCAGGGACTTAGAATGGGGGAACAATGGACCATAGGAATCAATAATGTCCATTTTCCACATGATTATGTTTGGAGCTTTAAGTTAACCTTTATGGGAGAAGCAGCAAGATTTGCAGTGTGACCAAAATGAATGAGATGATCCAGAAGCAAGATGTTAAAGTAAAGAAAACAAATTCAGTAATATTTTCTGAGCAGCACTGCAGATTCCAGCAGGATTAGAAAAGTTCCCGCTCTGCAGTGAACTAGTTGCCTGTTCTGAGCACTCTTTGTTCACTTAGGTAGGACAAACTTAATCTTATGTTTCCTGTCAGATGATTTTTGGCAGCACTGCTAGGGAAGGAGGAGCATATTATAGAGAATTCCCAAGTGTAAACTGTATCTTTAACCCCTTGGTTACTCCAGTTTTCAACTTGATCATCTTACCTCCATGTGTTTCTTTTGAAGCACTTAAACTACACTGTTGGTTTTATTTATTTTTTGGTGCATTTAGGATTATCCGCATTATTATTTAGTCATGCTATTTGATAAATAAAGTTTTAGTCATGT